GCAATGTGTAAGAAATTCATAGTTAAGTGATGTGGTTATAATTACCCAAACATTAAGGGGTTTTTGGTAAATTGACGTGACCATAATTTTACTCTAAAATAAAAATGTGAATGGGTATAGTTTATACAGGATGAGCAACTCATTGGAAGGAATATTTCTTATTGAAAAAATAAAAAATAAATAAAGTAAGAAATGAAACTTCTACATGGCCAAAAGCCAGCTTTTGGACTGATACAAAAACTGAAAACAGAACAAGATAGAAAATGCCACCCACGCGTATTTTAGCCAGCAGCATGCAGAATAATTAAATTTTAAATACTTTTATGCAATTATTACTTATATATATATATATATATTAGGAAATTCCTGCATTTTCATTTTTGGCATATGCTTCTGTACAAAATTGTCTAATATGCGCCTAGCAGAGTATCAAGGCGTGACATTTTCTTCAGTACTGTAAGTCTGTAACAATATTATATTTCCAAATTAAATTATTACCAAATTTTATGATATAAAACTTTCAGTTTTATCGAAATTGGTACATAATATCTGTCACTTTAAAATTCCGATACTCCATTAATCGTATAACTATCAATCTTACCCTTGTAACCTCTCTTCACTACTATTTACAATGAACGGTATTTTAGTCCAAAAATATATATTTTCCTAAAATCAATAAAAATAGGACAATTTAAAAAAGGAATCGAGGAGTATTTATTAATATTAATTAATATTTAGTGTTATTGTTATTTACAAAATATTGTCAGGACTCAGGGAATTTTGTCTCAGTTTGGTCGGACTGGTAAGTGGGGGAAGGGTCTGTTTGGGTGGTTGGTAAAAAAAACAAAAATCGAAATTACAGTGGCACTATTGTAAAACAATGGGCTATGAATTGGCGTTTTCTTCACCAAACAATGCCCAATGGGTCGACCACATAGCAGCTGTTCTCTATTGTACGGACGGACCCACTTATTCAAGAGAAGGCCCACTTAACTTGGATATCCACAAAATTAAAAAAATAATTCCTAAATTTACCAATATTTAATTGAGAATATAATATTTAGACATTCTTCGAATTATATGAACCAAATTGATTTGAATTAAAGTATAGTGTTTCGATCCACTGTAGGTCTACATTCGCTTGAAGCAGCTACAATTTCAATAAGTTGCCGCAATATCAGAGATTACGATTTACAATACAAATGGTTATACAGTGAGGAACGTACAAATAATTGATCTCTCAAAAACCCTAATTTGCATTGCACTCGATCAAAGAACCTCTCGAGAGCTTACAAAATCTCACGGATTTTCTCTTAGATTCTTAATGCTAGTTTAATGCTAGTGCATGTGTATTGTCACTACAAAAAAAAAATATTTTCAGTGACAACACCTATTTTTCACATAGTTAGGCAAAAAGTGTTGTCACTATGTTTGTCACTAACGGGTGTCGCTATTGCTCTATAGTGACAATAAATATGGATTAAGTGACAATAAAAAGAGTTATTAGTGACAATAAAAAAGATGTTATCACTTAATGTGTGTATTAAGTGATAACTTTTGCGTTTGTCACAATTCGTGTGTCGCTAATGCAACTTTTTCTTGTAGTGTGTATGT